GAACCGCCTGTCTGTTTCCATCCGATCCAACAGACGGAAGGGGAATTGGATCCCCATCCCTCCCTTTTTTGTGGATTGAATCGGATCGGATGTTGGCAGGTGTAAACGGGGAAATGTCCGTGTACACCCGCTGCTCCATAGAGAAGAATGGACATTTCAATTGGGTGAGCCTTCCCCTTTTTTTGGCAGACCCAATCGGATTGTCCATTTGAAAGAGGCCTTAGCAGATTTCTCACATCCCTCTCATTTTTGTTGCCAGTGGTTTAGACATTAATGGCTGTGTGTTAAGTTATTTTACGGGGACTGCAAATTTACACTGTTATACAAGCTGTACACTCACTACTTTACATTGTAGCAGAGTGTCATTTCTTCAGTGTTGTCACATGAAAAGATAGAATCAAATATTTACAAAAATGTGAGGAGTGTAATCCCTTCCCTAAACGCAAAACATTTGTATGAGTATATATATATATATATATATATATATATATATATATATAAAAAAAAAATAACAGCCAGAAAACATGTCTGCGATGATGCAATAAAGCACGATGCAATAAAGCGACAAGAAACATGTCCATTAAAGTACTATACTGACACCCCTAAAAACATTTTAGCAGGGACACAATCAGTATTGACAAACCAGAAACATGGGCAATGAGACAATCAGTTCCATAGTGATCCACCATAAACACATTCGCAGAGACACAATTGATCCAACGTGACACACTAGAAACATGTCCACAGAGACAAAATTAGTACCATACCGACAAACCACATATATGTCTGCAAATACATAATCAATCCATAGTGACAAACCAGAAACATGGGCAATGAGACAATCAGTTCCATAGTGATACACCATAAACACATTCGCAGAGACACAATTGATCCAACGTGACACACCAGAAACATGTCCACAGAGACACAATTAGTACCATACCGACAAACCACAAATATGTCTGCAAAGACATAATCAGTCCATAGTGACCAACCAGAAACGTGTGCAAAGACACAATTAGTACTATATTGACACAGCCAGAACCATGTCTACAAAGACACAATTAATACTGTTCTGACACCCATCAGAATATGAACGTGCCATTCTACTGAATATTTCTGGTTCCACATACACTTTAGTCATGGTCATGTATTTGTAGGTTTTTATTCTCAATTTTTTTAACATGTTGTATGTTTGGGAAGAACTGTAAATATCACCACAGGTTCAGACAATCTGACCTGACCTGTAATTAGTCAGTATATTCACTGAATAGAGGGCGTTACTGGTCCTGTATACCATGTGAAAAAGGCAGGAAACATAACACACTCAAATACGTTTGAAGGATATCTGTACTAGGCTAGGTTCACCTCTGCGGGTTGCTATTGATGTGTTATTCTGGTGTGTTTTGTGTTTTGAACACACATTTTTTATGCATTTTTGCCACATTTTTCATGTTTTTCGCATTTTTTTTGACAATAGTAAAGTTTTGACTTTGATGTGACTTTGGAAAGGTGCCACTGTTATGTGGCTTTGGAAGGGTGGAATGTGTATGCAACTTGCATGCGACTTTGGATGGGTGTATCTTTGATGCTACTTGGATGCAACTTTGAATGGGTGCGACTTTGATGAGACTTTGAGCCCTGGTTCAACTAAATGACACTTTGAAATTGCGCTACCTCACTTAAAGTACTGCGACTTCAAAGCCGCAGGTCAGTGCGTTTTCATATTCGACTTGCCTGACATCTGTGCAACTTCATGTACAGGTGTCTATGCAAAATCTCAAAGGAACTTTTTTTTCCAAATAATTGCGGCACCGCAAAGTCACCAATTTGAATGGTTCTATAGGCCATTTGCATTTTTTTTTACCTGAAATCATCAAGTGGCTTTTTTTAATGTATAAAATCACTAAAAGGTAAATCGCACCCACTTATTAATCACATATTTAAATTACTAATCAACACTTCAGGTCCATTTTTCCCACCCATTTGTTCCCTATTATTAGATTATTAATCTTTGTTGTCTATTTCACCTCTCAAAAGTGTGGAAGTTCTGATCTATAATAAAAAATATATGGCTGTTAATTGATGTGTACATTACACATGCTGCTCCTTAACTGTAAAGGTCCCACATTTGTAACACTAATATTGTTACCTATTGTGATAATTAGATTGAGAGCTGTTTTCCTACCTAGTACAGCAGGTTTCATTAGGAAATATGTCTGCTAAGAACTGAGATCCTCATTCACATTAGTATTTAGAGGAATAACTTCATTATTATTACCGTATTTGCCGGCGTATAAGACGACTGGTCGTATAAGACGACCCTCTACTTTTCCTGTTAAAATATAGGGTTTGAGCTATACTCGCCGTATAAGACTACCCCTCTTCCAACGCACACCAAATAAAAATGAAAAAACATCAGATTTGATTTCAATATGGTATGGTATTTCAGTATGGTATTCCAATGATGGGGTGCTATTCCTCCCACTGACACCAATGATGGGGCATGATTCCTCCCACTGATACCAATGATGAGGCACTACTCCTCCCACTGACACTAATGGTGCCCCATCAGTAGTGTCAGTGTGTGAGGAATAGTGTCCCATCATTAGTGTCAGTGGGAGGAATAGTGCCCCATCATTGGTGTCAGTGGATGAAATAGTGCCCCATCATTAGTGTCAGTGGGAGGAATAGTGCCTCATCATTTGTATCAGTGGGAGGAATAGTGCCCCATCATTGGTGTCAGTGGATGAAATAGTGCCCCATCATTAGTGTCAGTGGGAGGAATAGTGCCTCATCATTTGTATCAGTGGGAGGAATAGTGCCCCATCATTGGTGTCAGTGGGGAGGAATAGTGCCCCATCATTAGTGTCAGTGGGAGGAATAGCCCCCATCATTGGTATCAGTGGGGGAGAATAGTGCCCCATCGTTGGTATCAGTGGGGAAAAAAGTGCCCCATCATTGGTGTCAGTGGGGGAGGAATAGTGCCCCATCGTTGGTGTCAGTGGGGGAGGAATAGTGCCCCATCGTTGGTGTCAGTGGGGGAGGAATAGTGCCCCATCGTTGGTGTCAGTGGGGGAGGAATAGTGCCCCATCGTTGGTGTCAGTGGGGGAGGAATAGTGCCCCATCGTTGGGGTCAGTGGGGGAGGAAGTGCCCCATCATTGGGTCAGTGGGGGAGGAATAGTGCCCCATCGTTGGTGTCAGTGGGGGAGGAATAGTGCCCCATCGTTGGTGTCAGTGGGGGAGAGGAATAGTGCCCCATCGTTGGTGTCAGTGGGGGAGGAGGAATAGTGCCCCATCGTTGATGTCAGTGGGGGAGGAGGAATAGTGCCCCATCGTTGATGTCAGTGGGGGAGGAATATTGCCCCATCATTGGTGTCAGTGGGGAGGAATAGTGCCCCATCATGGTGTCAGTGGGGAGAATAGTGCCCCATCATTGGTGTCAGTGGGGAGGAGGAATAGTGCCCCATCATTGGTGTCAGTGGGGAGAATAGTGCCCCATCATTGGTGTCAGTGGGGAGAATAGTGCCCCATCATTGGTGTAAGTGGGGGAGGAATAGTGCCCCATCATTGGTGTCAGTGGGGAGGAGGAATAGTGCCCCATCATTGGTGTCAGTGGGGAGGAGGAATAGTGCCCCATCATTGGTGTCAGTGGGAGGAATAGTGCCCCATCGTTAGTGTCAGTGGGGAGGAGGAATAGTGCCCCATCATTGGTGTCAGTGGGGAGGAGGAATAGTGCCCCATCATTGGTGTCAGTGGGGAGGAGGAATAGTGCCCCATCATTGGTGTCAGTGGGGAGGAGGAATAGTGCCCCATCATTGGTGTCAGTGGGGAGGAGGAATAGTGCCCCATCGTTAGTGTCAGTGGGAGGAATAGTGCTCCATCATTGGTGTCAGTGGGGGAGGAATAGTGCCCCATCATTGGTGTCAGTGGGGAGGAGGAATAGTGCCCCATCATTGGTGTCAGTGGGGAGGAGGAATAGTGCCCCATCATTGGTGTCAGTGGGAGGAATAGTGCCCCATCGTTAGTGTCAGTGGGGAGGAGGAATAGTGCCCCATCATTGGTGTCAGTGGGGAGGAGGAATAGTGCCCCATCATTGGTGTCAGTGTGGAGGAGGAATAGTGCCCCATAATTGGTGTCAGTGGGGAGGAGGAATAGTGCCCCATCATTGGTGTCAGTGGGGAGGAGGAATAGTGCCCCATCGTTAGTGTCAGTGGGGGAGAGGAGCGGCTGCTCCTTCTTTCACTTCGGCAGCTTGATTTTCGTGGGGCCATTCGGCTCCGCCTCCTCGCCGGTGATGTTGTGTGCGCTGGCGCCCAATCACCGGTAAGGAGGCGGAGCCGAGCGGCCGCGCGACCATCGAGGTGCCGAACTGAAAGAAGGAGCAGCCGCGCTTCCTGGACCGGATCATCGTGGGACCGGGACCGGAGCCAGGTAAGGTACAGCAGCCCCTCTGCCCACCCCTGTACTTAGTGTCCGTTGGAGGACACCGCCCCTGGAAAAAGTGCCGCCCTGACACACTGGCTCGCCGTATACCGGCGTATAAGACGACCCCCGACTTTTTAGAAGATTTTCAGGGGTTGAAAAGTCGTCTTATACGCCGGCAAATACGGTATATAGGATTTATATAGTGCCAACAGTTTTCACAGCACTTTACAATATAAAAGGAGACAGTACAGCAACAATACAATTCAATACATAAGGTTTAGGAGGGCCCTGCTCCTTGAAGCTTACAATCTAATAGATTTATCCCTTGATATTAGGGTTGCTGATCCCTTTAAAACCAAACACATTAAATACACAGGTTCTGGGGCTAATTTAATGCAGATAAGGCACTAAGTGAGTTTAATTACCTCCTCAATCAGCCACAGAACCTGTGTAATTAATAAGTGTTCGGTTTTAAAGGGATGCGGTGGCAACCCTACTTGATAAAGTACTGAGAACATGAGGACAAAATCAAAATGGTTGCTATTAGGACAAGGGGTGGACTGACAACTCATGGGGCCCCCGGGCAATAGGGGATCATGGGGCCCCTGTGTCCTTGCCCAAACTCAAACAAGCCTATGAAAAAGGTACCAGAGGCATCTCATGGGGCCCCCTACTGACCCTGGGCCCTCGGGCAGTGCCCGAGTTTCCAAATGGTCAGTCCGCCCCTGTTTAGGATGAAGATAGCTGGTCATAAACTATGAAAATTTGCTACATGGGTGGCTCTGTTGGCCCCCTACAGCCCGATCTACTTTGATTAAAAAGTCAAAAGGGCCAGATTGAATTTTTTCAGTATCTAACTCAATTCCTTATCCCCATTCAAGTTACCCAAAAAAACCCACCAAAAAGAGCACCACTGGACAGTTGATTGAGCCAAAGGGTGACTGTGACCATGTGCCTGGCTGAGGGACAACTATTGGGAAAAGAACCCCGGGCATCTTTCTAGAAGCAACTACGGGGGTAGCGCTACATGTATGTAAATGAAAAACTTTTTTTAGATCACCTCCATTATATATCAGTTTTCAGCAAAAAGACCCTTAACCCACACACAGAAGTTTGGCAGATGCAGGAGAATCTCTAGGCTTCATGCACATGAGTGCTTTATGGGGGCAGAGGAGCCACACATACTGTGTACAGCCACCAATGCAAATAAATGGCTATACATGGCCATGTTCAGGTAAATGCTGATGGCTTCTACATTGGTGATTACCCGTGTGTGTGTAAAGCACTTCACAGCAGCATACAGTCACTTTTATCGGCGGCTGCATGCAGCACACTCAGCTCCCGGGGTGCCAGAAAGCAAGGGGCTTTTATGCCTCAGCACACAAGTTCTGCTAAGCTAGTGCATGAGGCTTTAGTTGCAAATTCTCCTTTATGATTGCAGGCCTCTGCTGGTTACTCAGTGGGGGTGAGTCGGGCCACTGCACAGAGACAGCTGCTTCCACACAATGACTAGCTGTCCTCAGATTAGTGTAGGACACAGGATTTTCAATGCACACTGGGGTTACTTTAAAATAAAATGAATGGAGAGAGCGCATGCATGGGCGGCCGGAGCGGATGATACTCTGACCGCTCCGCTCCTTCCTGGCACTTGCAGGGGGAAAAATAAGCAGCTCCGACCCACGTATCACCCGACTGCTTACCTGGGCTGCCTTCGAAGGGGGAGGAGATAAAGAGGCCAGAAACTCCACAGGAGGATTCCGCACTGCTGTCAGGGGAAGGCAAGATGGTGTCTGGAGCCAGCTCCCAGGCCTCATTGGCTGCTAAGGGAGTGCAGCCTCAGCCACAGCGGTCTGTGCCCTCTTCCTCCAGACCCAGGACTCAGCAAGTCAGATCCCCCGGCTCCATGGCTCACGTGAGTGACATTTTTGCCATTTCTGCTCCTTATGGCTCCCCCCTAGCCCTGCTGGATCCCTATTAGATGCTATGGCTTTTTTAAGGAGCTGGGAAATCATCTGGAGAATATTGAATCTAAAGTTGATGAAACCATCCACAGAGCGACTCAAAATTCTAACATGATTGCTGACTTACAGGATAGCCTGTATACAGCTTACAACAAAATTGATGAGCTTGAAAATCGGGCTAGCAAGGACAATTTTCAGGTCACAATTAATCAGTAAAAGATTTTGCCTCCATCACCCACTTCCTCATGCGTGCTGCAGTGCTGAATATCAATGAGATCCATCTTGAAATAGATCATATTCACAGGGCTTTAGTCCCTTTAAAGCCAGAGGGACTGTCCCCGGGATGTTATTGTAAAACCTCACTTCTTCACGGTAAAGGAGGCAGTGATGCTTTATGCTCGGGAACGTCCGGATTTTCAGGTTGATGGTTACAAGATCCAGGTTTTCGCAGATATCTCTCAAATGACCATTCAGGAGAACCCTCAAACCGTTGCTCTTACCTCTAATCCGAAAGGACATTCGCTATAGATGGATATACCCGTTTCATTTACAATTCCTTTGTAATGGCAAATCCTATTCTTTTTCCACATTTCTTGAAGGTGAAAAAATTCTGCTGAAGTTTCATCTCCCACTCACTTCCACCACACAATACCATTCCAAAGCAAATGGACCACCACTACCACTCTCACCCCTTTGGTCCCCTGCTTCCAGGAAAAAATCTGCAACCTAACACCGGGTGTATTGAAGACTCTGTTTCCATTAGTTGATGTTTTGGTTAGTGGAGGCCTCTCAATGGTCCCAATGTGGGACATTGGCCTTCACACATGTTTTGCAAAGCCTTTTTTGAACTGTTTAACTTTAACAATGTCACTTCCTCTCTTTCTAATGGCTTGAATTGTTTATATATGGATCCATTATATTTCTGCGCCTTAGAATCCTACATCTTGACCCTCTCCTCTTCTTTTTTCCTTTTTTTTTTTTTCTCTTTTTCCTTTTCTTTTTTTTTTTCCATCGTGTCACTTAAGGGATTTGTACCTTGAGTTTAGACTTCCCGATAACTCTCTACGGAGTTCTTTATCTTTGGTTACATGGTTTTTGATTAATGAACACTGTTATTAGAGTCATGTTTCCATATCCCTGTTCTGATGGATCGTTGTATATTGTATTACTTACTTTTGAAAATTGTTCAATAAAAACTATTGAAATATAAAATAAAATTAATGGAAAATCACCTAAAACTTATTGTTTCCCTGCACTCCCAATTTATATAAAGCAATTCCCCTAAAACTTCAGTAGGGCTTTAATTGCATCATTCTGCAGAGCACAGAAATCAGACTTGAAGTGGAATTTTAAAAGGTTATTACAGGGTATAAAATGCAAGCTTTTGTTAAGGACTCATGTCTAATGTAATCAGACAGAAAAGCTATTAGTAATGTCATTTAATGGGTACTGTAATTTTTTTTTTTTCGTTTCACTGATAGTCTCCTTTAATTTTTGCACAGGCTTTTCTTCTTCAAAAAAAAATATAGCTATCTGTTCTGGAGTTCTGAATGTCCTAACATAATTCTCTGTCTGTGCAGGCCCTGACTGGGTATTGGCTACAGCAGGATTCAAATGTTTGAACTATCAGTACCATCAAGTCCCACGGTTGGCAACCCGTCGATCGCGGCCAGGTGACTGGTAGATTGTGTCTCTGCTTTGCCAACCCCAGGCTAAACTGCTCCTCCCCAATGCTGTACTGGGCAGACCAGGGTGAGAAGATGGTGGAACAGGGGATAATGTTCATGAAAGCAGAGAGATGAGCAGGCGTAGCAGGGGAGGAGAGAGCCGGGCAGGTGGAGCAAGGGAGGAGACAGCCGGGCTGGTGGAGCAGGGGAGGAGAGAGCCGGGCAGGTGGAGCAGGGGAGGAGAGAGCCGGGCAGGTGAAGCAGGGGAGGAGAGAGATGGACAGGTGGAGCAGGGGGGGAGAGAGCCGGGCAGGTGGAGCAGGGGAGGAGAGAGCCGGGCAGGTGAAGCAGGGGAGGAGAGAGACGGACAGGTGGAGCGGGGGGGAGAGATCTGGGCAGGTGGAGCAGGGGAGGAGAGAGCCGGGCAGGTGGAGCAGGGGAGGAGAGAGCTGGGCAGGTGAAGCAGGGGAGGAGAGAGCACGGCAGGCGGATCAGGAAAGGAGAGAGCCGGGAGAGTGGAGCAAGGGAGGAGAGATATGGCAGGAAGAGCAGGGGATGAGAGAGCATGGCAGGCGGATCAAGAAAGGAGAGAGCCGGGAGAGCGGAGCAGGGGAGGAAAGAGATGGTGGGAGGAGAGGGGGGAGGAGAGTGCATGGAATGCAGATCAGGAAAGGAGAGAGCCTGGAGAGAGGAGCAGGGGAGGAGAGAGACAGCGAATAGATCAGGAAAGGAGAGAGCCAGGAGAGTGGAGCAGGGGAGGAGTGAGACGGCGGGTGAAGCAGGAGAGTAGAGGAGAGGAGAGAACATGGCAGGCAGATCAGGAAAGGAGACAGCCGGGAGAGCAGAGCAAGGGAGGAGAGATATGGTGGGAAGAGCAGGGGATGAGAGAGCATGGCAGGCGGATCAAGAAAAGAGAGAGTCGGGAGAGCGGAGCAGGGAGGAGAGAGAGATGGCAGGAGGAGCAGGGGAGGAGAGCGCACGGCATGTGGATCAGGAAAGGAGAGAGACTGGAGAGAGGAGCAGGGGTGGAAAGAGATGGCAGGAGGAGCAGGAAAGGAGAGAGACAGCGGGTGGATCAGCAAAGGAGAGAGCCAGGTGAGCGGAGCAGGAGAGGAGAAAGCTGGTGGGTGGAGCAGGAGAAGAGAGAGCAGGGCAGGCAGAGCATGTAAAGAGGGAGCCGGCCGAGCGGAGCAGTGCAGGAGAGAGCTCCTGCTGTGCTGCTTTAGAGAGAGAGAGTTAGCTCAGTGCCAGAGCAAGTCTCCTCCACTGCTCCAGGGTCCGCATTCTGAGCTGGGTGCAGGGGCGGACTGACCATTTGGAAACTTGGGCACTGCCGGTGTCAGGGCTCCGGGTATGACCAGAGGTATGTGAACTGACGCAGGGAAACGCAGGCTTCAGATATGTTATAAATTATATAATTTATTAATACTAACAATACATAAATGCAGTGCAATACTAAAACATAACACAGTGCAAACGAACCAAACCAAACCACCCACAGATAACAATACAAGCGTAGTCAGGCAGGCCGGGTCAATAACAATCAGGCAGGTAGGAACAGGAGGAGCAGGCAGAGAGTAGTCAGGTCACAAGCCGGGTACAGCAACTAACGGGCAGGTAGGTACAGGGGGTCAGGCAGAGAATGGTCGGGGTCACAAGCCAGGGATCAAACAGGAGAAGTCAGCAGAGGTCCGGATCAGGCAGGGTCGGCAGCGAGTCAGTCAGGCAGGAACAGGAACAGGAATGCAGGTAACAAGATACAGGGGCCCATAGAAAAACACACACCAAGGCCCAGACTACAGGTCTGGCCATCCCTTAAATACACCTGTAATCAGCCTCAGGTGTTTTGGCTGACTGCAGGGTTGAGTCTCTGATTGCTGAGAGCACCCGCTGGCCAGCCCTGGTACTGCAGCCCACAAGGCAGGTGAGTCGCACCATTACTGGCAAGTCCATTCCTGACAGCCGGGGTCAGAAGGGGGCCCCATGAGATGCCCCTGGTACCTTTTT